GGCGGATCCCTTGAACCTAGGAGTTCAGGGCTTCAGTGAGCTATTATCATGTCATTGTATTCCAGTTCTATTTATATTGCTTAAAAAAAAAATCTGTTCTGTTTTTACACTAAGTCATATTCCCTTTTGTATTTCCAGGGTTTTTTTGTTCTCTTTCTCTTTTAAATTAGACTTTCCAGAGAATCATCTATTTTAATGTTCTTTACAAATAATCTTTGGTTTTATTAATCATGTGTATAATATTCTTGTATTATATTTCACGAGTGTCTTTCATTTTTCTAAATTAATCCCTTCTTACCGCATTGTTTGTTGTTTTTTTCTTGAGTTCTAAGTCATGTTTTTTTATTCTTTTCGATTATGGGCACATATATTTAAATTTTCTTTTTGTATTGATTTGGCTGCATCCCATAGGTCTTAAGATGTCATGTCCTCATTGCCAAATATTTATTTATGAATTTTTAACTTGAATTTTTTTTAACCCATTTGGCTGCACTATTTAGTTTTCCTTTTATTTTTTATTTTTGAGTTGGAGTCTCACTCTCTCACCCAGGCTGGAGTACAGTGGCATGCTCTTGGCCACCGTAGTCTCGAACTGCTGGACTCAGGCGATCCTTCTGCCTCAGCCTTCCAAGTTGCTGGAACTACAGGCATGCGCCCCTACACCCAGCTAATTTTTTTATTTATTGTAGAGATGAGGTCTTGCCAAGTTGCCCAGGTTGGTCTCGAACCCGTGAGTTCAGGCAGTCCTCTCGCCTCAGCCTCCCAAAGTGCTGGGATTATAGGCATGAGCCACTACGACTGGCTCTTTATATTTTTTTAAAAACTAAATTTTATTTGTGTAAGGTATGCAGGTTGAATATCCTTTATCTAAAATGCTTTCTTCAGACGTGTTTTGGATTTCAGATTTCTTCTGATTTTGGAATATTTGCAGGTACATAATGAGATATCTTGGAGGGAGGACCAAAAGCTAAACACAACATTCATTTATGTTCCATATGTGCCTCATACACAGAACCTGAAGGCAATTTTATATACTGTTCTAAATATTTTTTGTGCACCCATCACGTGGGGTCAGGTGTGGAATGTTTCACTTGTGACGTCATGTTGGATCTCTTAAAGTTTCAGGTTTGGGAACTTTTTTGGATTTCAGATTTTTGGATCAGGGATGCTCAACCTGTACAATTTGGTATTAGAAGATGCATATCGATAAGTAAAGTGGTTATTATAGTGAAGCAAATTAATATAACCATTATCTCACAGTTACTCATTTTTTGATGTTGTGGCATGAACAACTAAAATCTACTCATTTAATAGGAATCCCCAATACAGAACATGTTTATTAATTATAGTCTTACTTTCTAATTTTATTGCATTGTGTGCAGAGAAAATAACTTGAAATGTTTCTGCAGTTTTCAATATTGAGATACCTTTTGTCCCCACATCTTTAAAATAAAATAAAGGAAAAAAAACAAAACAAAACCAGATACCCTTTGTGACCTAATCTATGGTCATTTTTGTATGGAAAAATACAAATATATGAATATGTGTGTTAGATTAAGATATTAATTCTAATATTCAAGCCCTATGTATTTCTTACTTGTTAGTTATCTGCTTGCCTTGTTGACATTTGAGCAAGGTATGTTTGTCTTACATTATCATCATGGATTTGATAATTTCTCATTTTATTGCTATCAACAGTTGTTTCATATATTTCAAAGTTGTTATTTGGTCTTTAGTAGTTTATGATTATTAGACTTTGTGATATATTTAAATGTTCCTCTTCATAAGAATAAAAATTATTTATTGTTTTGTGGATTCTTTCTTATCTGCCATCAGTATTACTGCCGTGCATGAAGGAAAATACTTTTTTGGCTATATTTTTTCCTTTACTCCTTTATTTTTAGATTTACTCTCGTTTTAGTTTTGTCTCCTTCCAGTAGCATATTGCTAGGTTTTGTTTTTTCAACCTGAGAGCTTTTAGATTGATAGGGAGATTGATTCATTCTTGAAATCATAGATTGTACACATTGATATATTTGGACTCAGACTCCTTATTTATATAGCTTTGCACGCTTTCTTAATGAGTGTTCCTTCTCCCTCTAACCACCCACTCCCTGCTCCTCTTCCTTATTCACTGACTTTTTTCTTCCATTCCCTTCCCTTCCATTAGTTTGAGATTTGCACACCTTATTTATAACGGTCTAGTCATTACCATGTAAAACTTAAGAAATTTACTAAAACGTATGCATTTGGAGTTTCAGTCAATATCTGTGGTCTGTCCTGACTAATTAAAGAAACCTCAACATGCTTTTATTTCCCCTTTCCTGCTGCCCCTTGCCTTCCTGCATGCCCCCCATCATGTTATATTGAGATAATCTGTAATTTTTTATATTTACATTTTTTATCCTGTGGGTAGTAAAAGTGTGGTGTTTCCATATCCTATTTGAGGGACTGTCTTGAGTATAGTATTAGTGATGCAAAATCATTTTTTCTCTTAATTTTGAAAATATTTCCAAATTGTCTTTTGGTGGTCCTTGTTGTCTGTGAAAATATTGTGCTTGTTGAGTAGTTTTTCCATTTAGATGCAACCTCTCACTGAAGTTTTCCAGGAGAATTCTGTTCAAACATTGAGCTTATTACTTTTAACTGTGTCCATCCTTGCAGTCACAGTTCATTAAATGTTTTATGTCACTGATTAAATATTTAATCTCTAAGAGCACCAGTTTAGTCTTTCTGAAGGGTGTTGATACCTTCTCAAAGCTCTTTGAAGGTATCATCTATATGTATTCAAAGTTATTCTTACCTTTGCACTGTCAGCATTCTTTCCAGGGTTTTATTAGTTTGTCCATTAAATGTTATGCTTCTTTTTCAGGGTGTTGATTTTCTGAAGTGATTTGTGATTTTTGGTTGTATACTCATCTGTATATTTGAGACTCTCACTGCTTATTCTGTTTTCTGTAAATTGTATCTCATGATTGTGTGAAAGAGGTTACAGCATGAGGGATGGAGAGATACTGCTCTTTCTCTGGTATTTGGTTACTTGAGTTCTTGCTCTACCCCTGTAGCTCAAATATAGCATTGTCAGATGTCTCCTCTGTGCATATCCCTTGTAGCTTGCTTGGGAAGTGCCGTGGTCTCAGCTGTGCTGATTAGTCTCATGTTTACCTAGAGGTGTCTGCTTTTTATTTTTGAGTCAGAGTCTTACTCTGTGTCACCCAGACTGGAGTGCAGTGGCACGCACAGGGCCACCCCAGCATCGACCCACTGGGCTCAGGTGGTCCTTTGGCCTCAGCCTTCCAAGTAGCCGGAATTACAGGCCCACGCTACCATGCCTGGCTAATTTTTTGGATCCATTGTAGAGACCAGGTCTTGCACAGGCTGGTCTCTAAGCCCTGGGCTCAGGCAACCCTCTCGCCTCCACCTCCCAAAGTGCTGGGATTACAGGCTTGAGCCACCACTCCTGGCCGGCTGTCTGCTTCTTTTATCTTATAATCTTCTACATTTTCAGAATTTTCTCTCAAGTTTTGATCCTGATTGCATTCTTTTAGAATTTCTCAACATTTCTAAATAGATATCGGCATTCTTTTTTATTTTCCGTTTCTGATTCTCATGTATTATTTTTGAAAAAAAATTTTTTTAGTCACTATGTGGTATTTTGGGTGGGAAGGAGGTAAGAAGCATGTAATCAGCCTACCAGATAGAATCCTTATAGGCAGTGGGAGTCAGAATCATTGCCCATATGTTGTGTGTTTTTCGATAAGTGGTGCAAGAGTGTACTCAAAAATAGTGTTCAAACTCAAGCTCAAGAATAGAAGTTCTTTCAGTAAACTTATGAAGTTGGTTATTTATGAAGTACTACAAGCATAAGCAACTTTTAATAAATTATATATGTATTTCTGTGATCAGATAATTCCTTTAGTAAAATGTTTTAAATTCCTTATGCAATTATCAATTTCTGATATGCTTTGATATTACCCTTCTATAGTTGCACTACAATAATGGATAATTTTTACTGAAATAAGAAGCGAATGTTTTTTTACCATGGAGGACAATACTTGCCTTTTCTTGTTCCATAGTTAAAGTTGGGGTGAGAATTGAGCACTGCAAGAGCGATGAGGTCTAGCATTGTTTTGGTCATGATGGGGTGTAACCCATCTTAAGGAGGAGTTATTTTGTGGCAGGTTTACTTTCAGGATTGGTTTATGTATACATGAGAAAGTTCCATTTTACATTAATTAGTGATACTTGAATGGTATGTCTTTGATTATCTGTTTGCATTTTTACTAAACAGTGTCAGAACAGTACCATTGTGACTGAGTATTACACAGCCATGATTTACAGTGGGAGTCAGTCAACGTTTTCTGTTTTTTATGGAGGCTACAGCTCTGTTGTAGCTTGAAAGTTGTAAGACAATAAGGAAATGGTGAGCATGACTGTGTTCCAGGAATACTTTGTGAACACTAAAATTTGATTTTCATATGATTTTTACATATCATGAAATTTTATTCTTCTTTTGATTCCCCTTTCATCCCCCAGCCACTAAAAATAAAGTAAAAAACTATTCTAAGTTCTTGGAATGTGCAAAAACAGGTGATGAGCTGGATTTGACCCAGGGATCATAGTTTGCTAGCTTCTAATTTAGATTATGTAATAGCATGGAACATGTTCATAATGTAGAGTAAAAAACAAAAGGAGGTTACAAAACAGTATAGTGTAATCCTGCTTATGTAAAAAACAATCATTAGCATACAGATAGCACTGGAAGAAGAGGTGTCAAGATATTGACAGTGATTCCCTGGTTAATTCCAAATTGTGTTTATAAACTTTTTTTGAATTTTGTATCCTGACTATTTTTTATGTTGTTTTTAAACATATATATGTCAGAAAAAAAGTTATTTAAAAAATGTTAGGAAATCTGTATTTTCTCAGCAAAATCAGGGTATTTTATTGTTAATTACTTTGATATAATCTGTATTGTTTACTCTCTGTTCTATTTTTAGCCAACAAGTCCCAAATTTGGAAAGGCTGACTCATACGAAAAACTGGAAAAACTAGGGGAAGGATCTTATGCTACGGTGTACAAAGGAAAAAGCAAGTAAGTTCATTGTGTTTTGAGTATTTCATATGTAAAATGCTCTGCTCTCTTAAGACTAAGTATCAGTATATGTAAATAATTCTCGTTTAATGTACAAGATATTCCCCATCACCAGGGTTTTTTTGTTTGTGTTTTTACAAGTGTCAAAGTCAGTGGGATTGTTTTTTCCTGCTAGTAAACAGTTTTGCCGACTTGTCCAATTATCTTTTCTGTTAAACTCCTTCCTCCAACTTTGTTCTGTCTCAGTGAACTTGGGACCCATTAATGAGAATTCATTTCCAAGTAAATTATGTGATTAATTTCTCATAGGTTTAGTGTTTTTTTGGGGGGGTTGGGGTTTAGTGTTAAATATATGAATATTGATTTGCCAGAGCCAAATATATTGGCCATTCTTGATGTCTTTTTAAATTGAACTCTAACTATATCTTCCAGAAATCACTTTGTTAAAAAAAAATTGCAGGCTTTTTCTTTCTTCTCACCTATCTGTTTTAGCATCGTGCTGCAAATATTTCACACAAAGAAACAACACCTCTTTGTCTTCTTTCCCTCCATTGGCATCCTGGGGTTGGAGCAGATTTGAGTATTTATTTATTTATTTATTTGTGAGTTGGAGTGTCACTCTGTCCACCAGACTGGAGTGCAGTGGCATGCTCCCAGCCAACTCAGCCTCTACCTGCTGGGCTCTGGTGATCCTTCTGCCTCAGCCTTCCAAGTAGCTGGGACTACAGGCATGCGCTACCACTCCCGGCTAATTTTTGATTTATTGTAGAGATGAGGACTTGCCAAGTTGCCTGGGATGGTCTTGAATCTGCAGGCTCAGACAATCCACTTGCCATGGCCTCCCAAAGTGCTGGGATTGCAGACTGAGCTACCGAGCCCCACCCAGATTTGAATTTTTTTTTTATATAATCAATATTTTTTATTTTGATATTGTGGGGTACAGTCAGGGTTAGGTATACAAATATGCTTCATTCAGGCCCCCTTGTTGATAATTGGTGTCTCCCCGTCTCCAGACAGATGTTTACTACCATTAGTCCCATCTCGCCCCCATAGTTTCCCAACACTGTCAGTCATTTTCTTATAGTAGTGCATTGGATGATCAAGGTCCACTATATGAGTGAGAATATGTGGTACTCAGATCTTTGTTTATGTGAGAGGTCACTTAGTATTATAGACTCTAGCTCCATCCAGGTTGCTGCAAAATTCATGATTTTGTTCCAGATTTGAATTTTTAAAATCTTGTCATTCCATATTTCTGAGTGATGTCTTCTTTTTCATTATTGATTAAGGACAGAGAGGTACTGTATTTAGTAGTATTTAGTTTGTAGGTATCTTAATGCTGTTTCTGAAACTACCACAGGAGACACACGCCTTGTTTTATTTTAATCACTTTACCAAGTGATGTTGAAAAATAATTTTCTAAACCGTTCCTGCTGTTACTAAAAGTTGGAGAAAATTCTATGAAGGATCATCCCAAACACATAATTGGAAATTGATTAGGTGCTAATTTAGGTAATCTTTGAATTTTCTAGAGTATAGTCTTCTGCCTTTATTTATGGTTTTAAGTTAAGAAGATGAAAAAGCATGCCTAGCCGGGCTCGGTGGCTCAGCCTGTAATCCTGCGCCTTGGGAGGCTGAGGTGAGTGGATTGCCTGAGCCCACGGGTTTGAGACCCGCTTGGGCAGCAAGACCTCATCTCTACAATAAATCAAAAAATCAGCCGGGCGTGGTAGCGCATGCCTGTAATTCCGGCTACTCAGAAGGCTGAGGTGGAAGGATCGCCCGGCCCAGCAGGTTGAGGCTGTGGTGGCTGGGAGCGTCCACTGCACTCCAGTCTGGGCGACAGAGTGAGACTCCAACTCAAAAAAAAAAAAAAGAGAGAAAGCATGCCTTATAAAAGAAGACATGTAAGTAAGAAAATGCAGAAATGCTAAGCCAAATGTAGTAGTATTAATTTTGAGAACTGCAAAAAAAAAAATGTAAAAAAGATGAAAAGGTCTGTTTTTATTTGAATGAAAAATCAACATGATGGGTGGAAGGACATAACATGGAGTCAGTATAGTCAACGAGCTGCCATTTAAACATTTCTTAGCTTTGTCATGTTTTTCTAGCAGTTTACTTTAATTTACCTTCTAATCACTAGCCAAGGACAGCTGGTTGGTTTCTCAGAGGTAACTATTGATAATTGCTTTACAGCTCCTCCCAGCTTGTTTTGTAAAGAAAGTAACCTAATCAGCCCTTCATGACCTTCAGGACACAGACCCCATCAACATGGCTGCGGCCATGTGACTAACCCACCTGCCTGCTGTCTATCACCTTACCTCAGTACCTGTGCTTACCTGTCCCCTTTGTGATGATGTGGAGCAGACCACGACCCAATCACCTTAATGACCTGCCCCCATCAAAGGGAAGGTTTAAAAGGCATTCAACTTGAAACAACAGTCATCATTGCTTTGCTAAGCTATGATCTGACCACATGGCTCTTTGAGCTATGGCCGCCATGTTTCCTAGGTAAATTTTCCTCTTTCTCTCTAATTTACTTTCTAAATCAATTATATTTTCCACTCTAACTTCTGTGCAATTCTTTGCATCTTTTTCATGGCTCCGGATTGCACACCCCCACAGTGGATCTGACTTAGCATTTTGGAGGCCCTGCTGGAATTTTTTTCCTAACAATGGGGAATGAAAAAGCAAAACCTAGAGGGTTATTAATGACTTAACCATGTTGCTTGAGAATTGTGGAATGTCATGGTAATAGTCTGAATGGGTGAGCTAATTTTAACAAGGGTTGTGTCCCACGTTTTAATGTTGTTATCTAAAGAAAAATAGTATTCTATGCATAAAAATTACTTGTACATATGATGTTAATAATGCAACTACCTCTGATTAAGCAATTATCTTATATGAAGTATAATACATTCTTTTGTCTCATTTCCTTCTCACAGTGTCCTGGAGGGTAGGTTCTATTATTGTCATGTCCATTCTACCAGGCAGGAATCTTGGTGCTTAGAGAGGTTTATCAATGTGCCTATGTCCACATAGGTGGTCAGTGACAGAGCTTTAACTTTTAGCTTATGTCTATCTAGTGATGTGAAGCCATCCTTTTCTTAACCATTATACCACTACTCCTTCCATAGTGTTAGGGTTTGGACAGGGTGAGGGCTAGGTGGATGGAGACGGAAGAGAGGCGCAGGGACGTGCAGCGCCACGGAGCCAGCAAGCCGGAGGTGCACGCTGGCAACCCAGAGATTCGAGTAAATGCAAAGAATTGTAACACACAGAGGTGAGAGAAGAAAAGATTTATTTAAGTAAAGTCCACCCCCCACAGACAGGGAGTGGGCCTACATTCTAGGTGAGTGTGGCCTCGTAGCCCCCCAAAGCCCTGGCTTAACTCTTCTCAGAGATGTTGCACGTGACTACAGTGACTTCCTTGTCGACCAGCTGTGCATGTCTTGGAGATTCTGTGACACAGAGACTCATTAATGTCCGTCCATATTATCATAGCCCCTAGAGAAGAGTGTGACAAGGATTCTAATTCTCCTGCACCTTCCCAAATGACATTCCTTAGAGCTAGTGGAGGGTGCACCTCCCCTTATCTCCTAGGCATTCCCAGGGGGTAGCTTCGGGGGATCCTTGGCTTCCCTGTAGTTAGAGCCCAATTTACTAGAAGATCAAATCCCCACCTGTTTTCCCTCTGAGCGGTCATAACTTTTGTAATTACAAGTTTCATGACTTTTACAATTCTTACCCAATGCATGATATCTTAGGCCTTGTAAATTCCCTTTACTCTAGGCCACTGTGTCAGGGTTTAAGAACAAGATGAAAAATGACTTCCAATTCTTGGTCTGTCCTTTCACATAATATAAAGACCTTCGAAAGATTTGGCGCTTATCGAATATTTCAGATGGTTTTCACATGTGCTTTAACTTGTTTTGTGTCTCAAACAGAAGCGAACTCTTTTTTAAAAAAATCTGAGTTTTGAAGTTGGGCTCCTTGGCTCAGCCTGTAATCACGTGCCTTGGGAGGCTGAGGTGAGTTGATTGTCTGAGCCCGCGGGTTCGAGACCCGCCTGGGCAACTTGGCGAGCCCTCATCTCTACAATAAATTTAAAAATTAGCTGGGTGTGGTAGTGCACGCCTGTAGTTCCAGCTACTTGGAAGGCTGAGGCGGAAGGATCGCCGGAGCCCAGCAGGTCAAGGCTGTGGTGGCCGGGAACGACCACTGCACTCCAGTCTGGGCGACAGAGTGAGACTCCAACAAACAAACAAACAAACAAACAAACAAACAAACAAACAAATACATAAATACATAAATAAACAAACAAACAAACAAACAAAATCAGTGTCTTACTCTGTCACCCAGTTTGGAGTGCAGTGACATGCTCATGGCTACCGCAGCCTTCACCAGCTGGGCTCAGGTGATTCTTCTGCCTCAGCCTTCCAAGTAGCTGGATCTACAGGCATACGCCACCACACCTGGCTAATTTCTTTTGATTTCTTTTTAGAGATGATGTCTCGCCATGTTGCCCAGGCTCTGCCTCCCAAAGTGCTGGGATTACAGGCATGAGCCACCATGCCTGGCCCATTATTTCTTTATAAAGAAACAAAACCAAGCACTTGGAAATGCCTACCCACAAACGGTGTGTTCAACTGACCTCCACATATAATTTAATAACTCTATTTGTTTAATGTGAAAATTTATGTCTATGTCTTGGAGGTGGTTGGAAAATTTCTCATTTATGCCTGTATTATGCCTGTATAAAAGAAAGACTTAAAAAAATACCTGTGATCGTTAAGAAGAATGATTCTGGACACTTGATAACTTTCATTCCAGTAGGTATAAATTTATCTTGTTAGCCTTTCTTGAGCGTTTTCAAGACTGCTGGTCATATGTAGTATTTAATCTCCTTCAGATGGACATGAAAGCCATTGCCTACTTACCTGCTCTAAAAGGTACCTGGGTTTGCTTGCTTTAAGGTGCCAGGATCAGGCTGAAGGATA